TCTATCCCTGTATATTCCAACTATCTATCTATCCATCCATCCATCCATCCATCCATCCCTGTATATTCTATCTATCTATCTATCTACCTACCTATCCATCCATCCATATTCTATTAAATATTCTTGGGGAAATATGAAAAAATATGCTGAACGTCACAGGATGGATTTAAAAATTGGTACTACACTGGTAGGGAAAACGTGTAATCAAATTAGCCAAAATATTTCATTACAAATCATCAGATTGTTTGAGTTCTGCACACACAGATTCCTTCTTCACATGCTGATAACATCTTATTCTGTTTTACTTTAAAATCTGCTGTGACTATATCTTCTATTCTTCAAAGGAATTCATAAAAAAGGAGTAAAAAAAATGCCATCTGGCTGATCTCACAGGTTTATTCCTCAGATTTGAGAGAGTTTGGAGTCAGTCAAGAGGCTCATTAAAATCTTCAAAGGGAATATCTAAGACCATGATTGACTCAAATAGCCCTACGAAAGTCGAATGCAAACATGATGTTACTAATATACAAAGGCCAAGCAGGATGATGAAAGGCACATGATGCAGAAATAATTACGCGAAAAGGGAGGAGTCATCTATTTCCATCTTCTAGGCTATTGTCAGTGAGTCAGATATGATGACACTGTTGCACCACAGTCAGACTCTTTTGTGTTTCGTGATAATGAGCCATACCTGCTGCAGCCCCTCAGTGATGGAGGTAACAGGTGACATCCCACAGGTCAGCGCTGACAGCATGTAGCCATCGGGTCCAAATGAGCTGGTGAAATTTCCCTGCTGTGAGGGAACAATATTTATTATTAAAGGTATTTAAGACAAACAATAGTTATTATAGCATTATATTTTATATTATGTGAAATCATACATATGAAATGATATGACTTAATAGTAGGGCTGGGTAAAAAAATATCGATATCTCGATATTAATCGATTCTCATTTTTACGGAACGATATCGATTCCTAAATTCCAAGAATCGATTATTCTAGCCTGTTTTCAGTTAATGGACGCATATATATCGCAATAAGCATTGTGCATCAATATAACGGCTTGTAAACAATATGTCACGTAACGTCACATTTATTGTACCTCAGAAAAAAACATATTCGGTGATACGGTTTCAATAGGTTTAAGATTCTCTAGTATCAGTTAATATGATCACTTTATGAATAAGCAGCAACAATGACAGTTAATGCAATTAAATTTTGATAGATGGACAACAGGATCTATTGACAACCACCTTATAGCATTCGTTTCTTGTTAGCTTAGTTGTTTCTGATGTTAGGAGATCGGTGTGCTGTTATTTCTAACAGATTTATAAAACAGAGTAATATGAACTTACCACCACATGGGCCCCGTTCAGTTTGAGAGGTTTGGGGCTTATTAACGGGGATATCATGTACAGCAGCAGCACGAAGGCCACGATGAAAGCAGCCACTACCAGGAGCATAACGAAAGGCAGAAGCAGCCACCAGGAGTTAAAGGAGAGCCAGTGTGAGAGCGCGGAGGACATGGGTCAACCTGATGCTGCTGACGTTAGCTCACAAGCTAAATCTTCAATTCCAGACACTCCCCCGTCTCGCGGACAGAAGACAGCAGGCCTTCGGACGAGCCGTTTATGCGCTTTTATTATCTAGTGATGAGATAGAGGGTTGTACGGTAGATTAAATACTAAATTCAAGTCGTGAGACTGCAAAAGCGAACTCTTTCCGTTCGCTACATGAACCAAAACACAGAATCTAGGCACTTTGAACGGAATGCTGGCTGCGTTTGGGCGGTGGAATTATGGGAGTTGTAGTTTTTGAAAACCTCTGCTTACGGCGTTAGAATGCTACTTGTGCAGAAAATGGACTACAAGTTCCAAAGTTCAACATTCTTTCCATAACTGTCACTTTCCTAATTGAAATGCTACTTTTAAAATTTGATTCAAAATAAGCCCTTTATCCAAAACCCAGCCCTCAATGACATGCTAGTCAACCCGCAATCCAAAAATATAAATACAAAAAATATATATACAGAACTGACAAACTGGAGTTTGTGTGATTTGAAAACATTCGCATTAAAGGAACAAATAAGTCAAGTTAGTTTCATTTCAACCTTTATTTACATGTGGATATTAAAATGAATGAGATAAACCACTTTTAAACTGTCTGGAAACCATCTGTTTAACAAGACTTATCCTTAAAACAAACCAAATATATCTTTTCTATATTGTTATTCTAATAGTACAATGTCTTATAGGTTTTTAAATGGCAAACCAAACACCCTATAGGTGCATACAGATTGATATATATATGTTTTTAAAGTTTTAAATGAAATGTGCAAATATCATCCAATCATTCCCAGACCTTCTGCCTATAAAAACAATTATATAGCCATCTACAAGCATCAGTATTTGTGCATCTATGTGTGTACAGATTGAGAGAGACAAACAGACAGGAGGAAAATGCGAAGGCACATTGTATGCTGAGCCTCAGCAAGTGAATTTACAACGAATGTCCAACATTGGCCCTTGAACTCATAATGTAACTCATATCTCAGTGAAGGAACAGCACATTTTACAGTAATATACTGAAAGTAACAATGTACATGGAGACAAAACCATATGTAGTAAATGAGTGCCTGAATTGTTAAATGCGGATCTCAAAGTGTTATGTCAAATGCCAATGCATGCACAGATTCAAAGCATGACTTTCTCAAATGAGAAGGAAAATGCAACTCTGGAATGACAGATCTCTTGTGAACCCTTGTGAACAAAGTCTACACCTGCACCCAGAGAGGTCTTTGCAACAACAAACAAGAGCCTTTTAAACGGTTCTTCTCCTACAAAACAAAGCACAGCCAAAAAAAAAATACAAGCTGGAAAGTCTTCATGTGTCGTTGAAGCTTAACTTTTATCCATTCAGATTTATGTGACTGTAAACAAAACTGACATAAGTATTACTTCAAATGTTTAGTCACTGCATAAAGGAACAAATTATAATTGCTAATTGTCTTACAGCACATCTGTTGTAGGTCCTGCTGACTGTGTTAATCATTGAAAGCACAGATAATTATGATTGAGACCGCTTATTAATGATAAAAGATGCATGATGGTCACAAGGTACTGATGGCAGCCTTGCAGGCAGAGCAGCTATTAGCATGTGAAGAAAAACTGAGGTGGGCTTGAAGAGATACACATTTCAAATTACATCTAGCCTGTAGCCTGAGCTGAGAGGGCTCGTCGGTCAGAGGAGGAGCATGGGTACGAAAGGAAGAGAGGGGTGTGTGACAATTACAATCTGTTTGCTTTGGTTTCGGGAGACCGGCTCTGTTCAGCCCTCCTGTCCAAAGTCCTCTGTGAACTTTTTCAGCTTCTCCAGATCCTGCTCGTTGACGGTGGGCTTTGTGTTGGTGAGAGACCTCAGCATGTCCGACTGTGGGTATGAACAGGGTAGAATGAGGAATTGATAAAAGTACCATAACAGTCTTTTAAATAAGTTTTTCATAAAAATAAAATAATAAAAATATTGGGCGTCCCGAGTTCGAGTCTCGGCTAGGGTTGTGACAGTGAGGAAATTTTCCCACCGGTTAATCGATGCGTGACAATCACCATTGGGGTGGGGAGAGGGGTGTTAGTTCGTTTGAGTTTCCCTCTTTTCTTCGCTTTCAAATTGTTTGTAAATGCGCCGTGCGCGTTTTACTTTCACTTTCAAATTAGCGGCAATTCGGCGTTGATTCAATTCAAGCAACAACAATGTCAAACTCATAGAACTTTTAACAAAACTGATAAAAATACACCATATATGCCTAATGAAATAACAAATTACTTAGGCTACACAAAGTTTAAATTGGTATATAAAACTGAAAATCAGCAAACACCGTGGAACCAAATAAATAAGAAACATAGAACGTTTATTAGCAAACTCGTGGACCTTTCCCGATTCCGCCCCTACTCTCTCTCTCCCACTTTGCTTTCTGTCAACTAACTGTCCTATCAAAATAAAGGCAAAAAACGCAAATAATTATAATAAGAAAACAAAATAAAAACAATATTCATAATTATAATTCATAATATAAATAATTGTATTCTTTTATTTTATTTATTTTAAATATTATATTTTATTCATTTTTACTTTTTTTAATAAATACTAATAGAATTAATATTTATTTTAAAACACTAAAAAATTGTATAACTTCTGCTATTATTACTCTGTTGGGTTGAACCATTCAAAGACGCTGCAAAATAGCCAATACTCGGTCTGAAAAGCGAGGTGTGCTCTGATTGGCCAGCTATCCAGTTGTCTTTGCAACTTTACAACTTTACAAATTGTCATTGCAACTTTACAGATCTTCTTTATGCACCAAGAGCTTGTAACACTCCAAAGAGAAAGGAAAAATTTAAATCGCATCATATGACCCCTTTAAGCACAATTAGTATATACTGATGATGTAACAATATGAAAATAAAACCATGCTCACCATGGAAACAATTGGCTCCAAAAGTTTCTCTCCAGGGACGTCCATCCACGTCATTTCTACACCCTGTGGATCACCTGGGGAGCAAGGGGTTAAGAGGTCATCGACTATGACATTCAGGTCACTCCTTGATGGTCCTCGAACCTAATGAAAGAAAAGATAATGGTTACAATTAGAAGTGGTGAGTATTTAATTTAAGACTTATTAATGTAAGACTCATTTACTCCGTGTCAGTTTCTCAAAGTGTTGGTGTAATCAGCGTCACTGAGGACTCACCCGTTTGAAGTGAGTGGCGGACTGAACCTTCCTGACGGGCTGCATGAGGGCGTCTCTGACGATGACGCTGATGTCAGCGCCAGAGTAACCTTCCGTCTTCTTGCCCAGAGTCATGAAGTCTGAATCGGTAAGACTGTTCGGTGTGCTGCCCAGATTCAGCTTGAACATGAATCCGCGAGCGTGCTCTTCTGGCAGAGGAATGTAGATACGTTTCTCAAACCTAAACAACACAGAAGATAAACAATGAACAGCTACAGACTTACAGTTAAAGAGTGATAGGTGCACACACACTCACTCTATTACCACTTTTCCCATATTAAAACGATATTCAAAAAATCTAGTCAAAATCTATGAAATAACAAAAACGGAGGCTTGGGAATCATCTTATATATGAGATTCTTCTAGTCACCACCCTTTGTCTAGGTAACAGGTCTAGGTTATAGATGCAGGGCTCCAGAAAAAAAAATAAAAAATCAATTAAGGAGCCAATGAGAAACAAAATTAGGCACCAAGTTATTTTAAGTGCCTCAGAATAAACGCGTTTTATTGTTAGTAACATTTCAGTCACCCTGTCATGTGTTTATGTCATTTTAATCCATCTTGTAGATGTTCTGGGAACTTAGGTTCACTTAAAGTGGGAACGTCTTTTCCAACTTGAGAACTATACAGTCAATTGTTTATTACACAGAATCTGTGCTAATATCACGGCCCATAACTATGTCAGCATCACTTGGTCATTGAGTGTAGTTTGGGCTCCTCCTCAATGCATTCTATAAATGTTGTCATACGTCTTGCACACAACCCAGTCAGTTTTTCTTCATTAGTAACATGCAGTTTTATAGGAGGTGTTGAATTTTATCTTTAGCCCATTGCATTCTTTCTTAGACAACAGATTAAGTAAAAATATGAATATGCAATATAGTGCATATATTTTGCAAAATGGTCCTCTTTATAGCTATATTTTCTAGCTGACTAATGAGCTTATGGACGCCGAATGGTTATTCTGAGATAAATATATAGTTATGTGGCATTGTTTACAAGCGTTACTCGTTTTCCACAGTTGAAACACTGAATGAGCGATTACATGAGACATTTCATTAAGTTTTACTATCTTATAATATACCTTTTGATGTCCATTTATGTTTATTTGGTAACTTTGGTATTTATTTGAATTTCGTTATGAATTTGGCAGAATTTTAAAGCTGATACTTTGTTTATTAAATGTTAACAGATCACAAAAGCTTATTGTGATTATTGGTTGGCAAGTGCACTACAAATAATAGGAAAGACTAAAGATCTTGATAACAAGAAGCCATATTAGTATCGATTATAAACGAGAATTGTTAACGATATTGTTAATACATATATATATATATATATATATATATATATATATAGACACACCTGTAGATATTTCATAATAACATTCCACGTGATTCATTGTGGTTCATGCTCTCTGGCTCATACTGAGCTACAAGAGTTGAATAACCTGTTCTAGCCAATGTCTCTCGATGATGTCATTCAATCATGATGCATCACACTAACACAGAGTCTAATGAGATCATCTTTAACTGATAATCACTCCTCTCTGACTGTTCTCTTTCAGTTTTCCAATAGAAATTCAGTCACTCATGAAAACAAATTATTACCGTCTTCTGATGGCAGAATCCAACGTCCAGGGGATGTTTGTGGCTCCCAGCACTAGAATCCCTTCATTGTCATTACCAACACCTATGAAGACATTATTGTATTAGATAGTATTCATGGTTCATTAAAACACCATAACAAAAACTAACATGATAAATAATCATTTTTAATATCACAATGTGATTTTTTATCTGTATTTTTTGATAGTATTCATGGTTCATTAAAACACCATAACAAAAACTAACATGATAAATAATAATTTTTAATATCACAATAATGTGATTTTTTATCTGTATTTTTTATCCTGAAAAACAGATCCGATTTTGACAAATATGTAAGATTTTGATTATATGATTTTACATCACTGTATTTCAGACAAACAAAGCCTAGTCAATAACTCAACAGTTTCTTTAAGGTGTGTTTAATTAGGATTGGAGCTAAACTCCAACCAGGAGCAGGATTTGACATCCCTGTTAATGAGGATCGTAACATGTCTAAAAGGCTCACCTTGCATCTGAACCAGAAACTCGGTCTTGATTCTGCGAGCTGCTTCACTTTCATTCTCGCTCCTGGAGCCGCAGAGTGAATCTATCTCATCGATGAAGATAATAGAGGGCTTGTGCTCTCGGGCCAAAGTGAACAAATTCTTCACCAGCCTGAGGGGATGAAAGGAAACGTTTAGACATCGCATGGCATCATTTTGACCATTTAATCAGGTGACAAGCAACTTTAACCAATCAAAACTCTAGATCTCACTCGGTATCATTTTCCTAAAAAAGTAGAGAATCTGAAAGTGTGGCCATGAAAACTAATTTCATTTATAGGTCAGTTGGTGAATTTGCTCAGTACCAAATTCTGTTCACAGATCCCACAGAAAAACTGCACTTAAATAGGTCTGCTCTGTCTGGAAATATAAGCACAATAAGTCGACTTGCATTCTATGTAAATGAAATGACAAATCACAGTCACTTTAAATGGATAGTTCATGCAAAAATGAAAATTCTGTCATCATTTACTTACCGTCAAGCTGTTCCAAACCTGTATGACTTTCTTTCTTCCGTTGAACACAAAAGATATTTTGAAGAATATTGGTCCCCACTGACTTCCATAGTATGAAAAAAACACTATTGAAGTCAATGGCCACCAGCAACTGTTTGTTACCAACATTCTTCAAAATATTTTCTAGTGTGTTCAACAAAAGAAAGAAATTCAGACAGGTTTGTAACAAGTGAAGGATGAGTAAATAATGACAGAACTTTCATTTTTGCATGAACTCTCTCTTAAAATGGTCTCTGTCAATCAGAGCATGACACAAACTGTGAAAAAATCTGAAGGCTCCTTTATATAATGATTTGCACAGAAACCACAGCTGTATATGCACCCTCCAATGAAGTTTTGCAGTGTTGCACATCATGGCACTTTTTTATATCCCTTATTTTGTATGACATATACTTTGTAAATAAACAGTTATTAATAGCTGATTTGAAACGTATGATTATGCATTTCTGAATCAACATTTCTCCACACCTGATACAGTATTGTTGCCTGTGCTTTAGAAATGCCTGTACTCTTCACATTTCAGTGTAAATTATTACAAAACATACATTTCATCAAACATATTTTATACGTTCACTTTCTGGTGAACACCCATGTGGATTGCCAAAAATTTGGTGTGTTGGTGCCAAATATTTGTCGTCGTGCCTAACAACGCCCCTTAGCTGTTATAAATTCACTGTAAACCACGGCTTCTTGGGGCTTATTGCTTTATTTGAGCTCTGTGCTTATCTACTGAAATTAAAATCTGAGAAACATACAAAAGGGAGCAAAGTGTAGAGCGGTAAGCAAGAACGTCTGAACAGTAGCGAAGCTCAACACAAGAAAGAAACTTAAACTGCTAAAACAGCTAAAGGTAACCGGCACCATTCCTCACAAGACTCACTTTTCACTCTCTCCCAGCCATTTAGATACCAGATCAGAGGAGGAAATGGAAAAAAAGGTGGAGTTGTTGGCTTCTGTCGCTACTGCTTTGGCCAGGTAAGATTTGCCCGTTCCAGGAGGCCCGAAGAGAAGGATGCCCCTCCAGGGAGTTCTTTTACCTGAGACAGAAATAATTTGTATTATTAATGGTCTACTGTCAACAGTTCCTTTTACAGGGTATTGGTACAGTTGCACTTTTGATATACCCATACTGGCACTGCTGACCACTAAATACTTAAAGGGGACATAACACACACGGTTTCTGTCAATCTCATGTTAATCTTGAGCATCTATAGAGTAGTACTGCATCCTTCATATCTCCAAGAGTCTTTAGTTTTATCAGATTTATAAAAGAAAGATACAGCTCTACGCTTCTCTCCAAAAACAGCCGAGCTCCATCTTTCAGTATCAAACGATCTACAAATCCAGCGTCGGACTGGGCCTTGTTTATAAAACATTCGTCACCGAAATGATGGGAACAAACAAACAAACACGTGCACAACTCCGTTGCGGCCCCGGAAAAACAAACTGCATCCACTGTTCACGTAACGCTGGGTTCTTTGGGAAGCGGAACAAGGTTCTCTCATTCACAACCAAAAACACACTTCTTTGGAGACATTCCTCTCGAGCAAATCCTGTGCAGCGCTGCCGACGACTTCCGTGACCCGAATGAAGCACGTTGATGGGCTGCTCTTGCTCTGGTTGATGTGTGCACGCGCTCTTCCAGGAGAAGTGCCCATACAAGGAATTCCGCACTTCATAACATCATTGACGTAACCGGTGTTGCGGCTTAACAACGGTATCACCGTCAGCACCGTCTATCGCGGCAAGCCTACCCGGAAGGAGTGTATTTGGCACAGAAATACTCCCGTCATACATCCAACTCATTTTTTTTTAACTTTGGCCATGCTTAGCATGAGAATCCAACTCTTTAGCAGTGTAAATAACTCAGAATGCATGTAATAGCATTAGACCTCCCCTTTAAAACTTTAACCCCCGGTTTCACAGACCAGGCTTAAGCCTAGTCCTAGACTAAAATGTAAGTCTGAGCTGTTTCAACTGAAAGAAGTAGGGTTGTGACGGTGAGGAAATTTTCCCACCGGTTAATCGACGTGTGACAACACCGATAATACCGGTATCACCGCGGGGACGGGGCGTTCCCTCTTTTCCTCGCTTTCCTTCGCTTTTAAATAGCTTGTAAAAGCGGCGTGCGCATTTTACTTTCACTTTCGAATTAGCGTCAATTCAGTGTCAACTGCTTGAATGCAACAACAAAATACAACGTCAAACTCACTTTAGCCTAGGCCTATATATAAAACATAGAACTTTTATTAACAAAACAAATAAAAATACACCATGCTATAGGGCAGGCTACACCTAATATAAAATGATCTTAAAATATATCAGTGCCTTTGTTTTGTCTCAAGATGCACACCAGTAATGTTTTTTTCTAAGCACGTTCATAAAAATTGCTTAAATGTCCTAATTGAAATTTGATCTAATCCTGGCTTACTCTAAGCCCCGTCTGTGAAACCGGGCCTAAGAGTGTTGTATGAAAGCAGTATCCCATTAGTTGATGGTGATATAGCCACTTGCCTGTGAAGAGATGTGGGAATTTGATTGGCAGAATGACGGCTTCTTTCAACGCCTCTTTGGCCCCCTCTAAGCCAGCAACATCATTCCATTTAATATTCGGCTTCTCCATGACAATGGCTCCTGTGATAAAAGATCAGTCAATAAGATTCAAAACGCATTACCAAAAAAAGTAATTTTGTTCATTTTGAAAGATGGGGAATAACTTACCTGAAAGTTGATTCTGAAATTTCTTTTTTTCTGGGTCTTCTCCTTCTCCATCACTCTCAGTCCTAGGGTTAAAAATACAAATGGAAATATATAGGGTCAGTTATTTTTTTTAATACCGTTATTCAGCAAGGTCACATACAATTGATCAAAAGTGATAGTAAAGATATTTATAACGTAACAAAATACTTATATTTCAAAAGATGTCTGTTCTTTTGAACTTTCTATTCATTAAAGAAAGCTGAAATAAAATGTATGACTTAAATGATTTTCAACATTGTTAATAATCAGAAATGTTTCTTGAGCATCAAATCAGCAAATTAGAATGATTTCTGAAGGATCATGTGACACTGAAGACTGGAGTAATGATGCTGAAAATTCAACTTTGATCACAGGAATAAATTACATTTTTAAACATATTAAAAAAAAGAAAACATTTATAAATTGTAATAATATTTCACAATATCACTGTTACTATATTTCTGATCAAATAAATGCAGCCTTGGTGAGCAGAAGAAACCTCTTCCAAAAACACTTAAAAAAATCTAACCAACCCTAAACTAATTAACGGTTATATAAATAGCATAACAGCAAAGGGGGAAGTTCACAGTCTCAGTTGCTAACACAGCTTTGCATAGACACATGAGAACACACGCTAGCAGTTAGGAATATGCAAAACCCCATATTTTCAAATATGGGCTGAATGATCAAGCCCTGTATAATTAGGGTCCATCAGAGCCAGATTTGATTAATTTTTTTTAAGCAGGGCATTCACACCGGACATGTTATTGTGTTCAAAAACAATTAGCAGTTCATTTTGATGTTTTGATTCACAGAAATCAAGCACACATTACCATTGAATGCATGTATATGTTTGTATTTATTCAGTGAACATCAAATCCTCAGCACCCACCCTTTGTCACTGGACTGTGACTCCTTCACTGGTTTCGCTGGGGCTTTCTCTTTCTTCTTCAAGTATTCTTTCAGCTTCTCAGCCCGGTCTAAATATTCGGCACATTTGGCCCGAATGCTTTGCTTGGCCTTTTCACCCTGTGCTTCATCTTTATTTAAAAAATAAATAAATAAAAAATAGTTAAAGGTATAGCGGTGACTGAAAGCTGCCACTGTTGTGTCAAATGCTGTAATGTCTTCTCATTAACGTACTGATAAATTAACATTCTAATTAGAACATATGTAACGCTAAAGCAACATACATGAACATTTAGCAAACTATTATAATCTGGATAAAAAATAAATAACAAGACAGGAATAATATTCTTGATGTTTGTCGGTTTTCTGTTGCTAAAATCATTCTATTTTACGGATAGACATAAACAAAGATTTTAGCTGCATACTTACATTTGACAACATGCAGAAAATACTGAACAGCATGCTGATATAGACGCAGGGCCTCTTCGTAGTTTTCAGCCTTGTCCTCCTGAGCTGCCTTACTGGCCAGATCTATAGCTTTCTGTGTGGTAAACAGCATTATTTCAGAATGGGGTTGAGGAAATGCAATGTAGCTATTAAGTAATTAATGCAGTTTTATTGTCCTAACATGCACCGTATGGGGAATTTCAGGCATGGTTACATGAAAGCACCTAAATTAAACACTTCAGGACACCCTACTTCTCAAACAAACAAACAAACAAACAAAAAACATAGCGTTCACTAGAACAATGAGCCAAATATTAATAGATGTTACCAATCTATAACTGTATTCATATAAGCACAAAACAGAATGTATACCTAAACTTCAAAGTAGACAATGATCAAAACCAACACCTAACTGGTTATTGTTAGCTCATCTGATCTTACCTGCTAACGTCGTTGTCTGATTAACATTCAAACTGCCATTTATGATCTCACATACAATCAATCAAGACTGATTACGACCATTAGAGGTTTGTTAGTGTATTTAGATTATATGACAGAAGTTTAAAGAAAACACGAGGGTGCTAGTAAGACACGGCGACAACTTATTCACTACAAAATGACTGTCTTCAAAAATATTAATTTATAAACATGTTTAAACTTAATATTTATCTTAATTAAGCCCATAAGTTAACATTATTGCTGTCGGTTTGATAAACTATGAGATCAATTGTTTGCCAACTTACCTGTAAGTTGTTGTTGGCAGCCATAAGGGCTGAAAAAATCAAGAGCGACGGCGTGTTATGGAAAAATAAAGACAGTGATATATGAACAAACTGTCGCGTTTTTACAAGCAAACAACGAGGGTTGTAAGTTTATGATTTTTCAATACTTGTTTTTGAGATCGGCGAATAACAGAGGAGAAAAAACAACTTCCGCATTCAAATGTCGAATGTCACTTCCGCCTTCACGCTCACGTGCTCCAAAAAATGTCGTGCGTCATACGGCAAGACACGCCCATTTGGCGCGCCCTCCGGTTTCAGGAAAAAAACAAGTCATTCCTACGTAATAAAAGTTGTACGTGACATAACTGGAATTACGGTAATATAAAAAAAATTATGTAGTCTACAAGTTGTCATATGTGTTTTAATTTTATCCAATTTAATAATGACAATTTCTGTTTGCCAAAACATTGAATTTATATATTTGCAATACATTACATTAACTTTTAATTAATTATGCATCTGGCATGTCAAATGAATTATTCTCCTCAACTAATTAGACATTTCTCTAAACTAATATTAGATATTAATATTAATGACAGGTACCCAACATGACAACTTATCTGTCGTGCGTCATACGGCAAGACACGCCCATTTGGCGCGCCCTCCGGTTTCAGGAAAAAACAAGTCATTCCTACGTAATAAAAGTTGTACGTGACATAACTGGAATTAATATTAAAAAAAATGTATGTAGTCTACAAGTTGTCATATGTGTTTTAATTTTATCCAATTTAATAATGACAATTTCTGTTTGCCAAAACACTGAATTTATATATTTGCAATACATTACATTAACTTTTAATTAATTATGCATCTGGCATGTCAGATGAATTATTCTCCTCAACTAATTAGACATTTCTCTAAACTAATATTAGATATTAATATTAATGACAGGTACCCAACATGACAACTTGTGCTGTCAGTAAACAATATTTCCCAACCCACCCTGAGAATTATTCACTGTAATAAAAAGTGTGACAACTAACTCCAGTCTCTTCTGTATTATCATATTGGTTTAAGGCTACTAGAAATCTGCACATTCACATCTAAACTGGCCAGTGTGTTACTATAGTGATATAGCTACCAAACGTCTGAAGTCATCAGTGAGATAACTGAGCTATAAACAAGTGTTTCCATTGTCAAACCGAAAGGTCACCTACAGGCATAAGCCATATCATTGCTTACACATTATATTGCAATATGGCAGGCTAGTAATAAACAAGATTGCTATTGTTCCTTTAAGAACAGGGGCGCCCACACCTGCTCCTGGAGGGTCACTGTCCTGCAGATTTAGCTACAACCCTAATTAAACACACCTGAACCAAAGTAATCAAGGTCTTCAGACTCACTAGAAACTTTGAGGTGAGTGTGTTAGAGCAGGTTGGAGCTAAACTCTGCAGGATACCGGCCCTCCAGCAGCAGGTTTGGGCACCCCTGCTTTAGAACCATGTTGTGAACACCAGACACCACAGTGAATATGTTTAATCAAACATATTCATGAAAGGAATACAAAAATAGAATGTAGTGTATCCAAACAGACAATGGATATATATGATGAAAGTATTAAAAAGTTTACATGGTCCAATACCTTTATAGTCAACATGATATCAAAATGTACCCTTTGTACCTTATGCACAATATTCAAAAGAAAAAGAAATGCTTGTCCATAAAACTTGATATCACCAAGCCCTTTTAATTTTCTCCCATCCCCTAAAACCACCAGTACAAATACAAACAGCATTTAATTTTCACTTTAAGATAATTGTAGTGCAGTAAATGTTGGTAGCTGTGAAATATTAAATACAGTCAGTGGATTTAGATGAGGAGGGTCCATTTGGTAGATTTAAGGTTTCTGTGCACTCTCAGAAAAAAGGTACAAAAGTGGTCACTGGGGCGGTACCTTTTCAAAAGGCACACCTTTGTACCCAAGGAGTCCATATTGGTAGCTTAAACGTACATATTAGTACCAAAAGTGTACATATTAGTACCTAAAAGGTACAAAAGTGTACCTTTTGAAAAGGTACCGCCCCGGTGACAGCTTTTGTACCTTTTTTTCTGAGATTGTGGACAGTTTAGTTACATCGCTGTAGGAAGTGGGAGCAACACAATCTCATGAGAAAACTGTGGTGATTTTGTCGGAGTTTTTATAATGTGATTCACTTGGAAATGTGTGATTTTTTGACAAAAAGTAAGCATGAAGTTCCTCCACTTACCCCACCCCTAAACCTAACCATCAGTGGGATATAAGCAGATCGTACGAAAATGCACGAATGAGATCATACAAATTCATACAAATTAAGGTACAGTCACATTGACTGTTCTTTGACAAAATTTCATGTAATCCAGACATTTCAATAGAAATCCACGCAAGCTGAAATTTCACATGAGAGTGAAAGATGCATGCAGATTTGTGACTTCTGTGTCAGCTGTGCTTCATACATATTGGCAATACACAATGGACCTTTTTGCCCACAAAATGTCACCAAAAACTCACTAATGTGACTGCACCTTTAGCCATCAATTCTACAAATAGTTACAAACTGCCATGAGAATGTGTTGGTTGTGTCTGCTTCACCGAGGATGGTGTTCAGTGTAAATCTGAAGTCATCAGTGTAGTGACACACCAAAGAATTTAAAGTTGTAAAGTTGCCACTTCTATTGCCACACCTCTGAGAGATACCAGATGTTACAGGGACATACAGTGGCCCCTCAGGGTCCCTTGCAAAAAACACACCCACATCCCACAAGCTAACCAGAGGCCATGGCTAAACACTGAGTTTCAGTATCTGTTATAATCTGATAATACTGCTAGGTCTAAACTTTTAGTTGCAAAAAACAAAAAAACAAAAAAAACAAAAAGCCAACACCCTGAAAATAAACTTCGACAACAATACCTTACAGTGAAAGAGCATCTAATTCGTCACTGACTAATGGCAGAACAACCACCTCACCTGCCTCCCAGAGACTCAATTATTATATTAGACATTAAAGTTTTGCTGATTAGCATGTCGTCATCATTGTTGTTTTTACTATTTGATGAAACATATATTAGTGAACAAAGACGTATTAATTTCCAGCATGTGTTAAAGGGGTCATATGATGCGATTTAAATTTTACCTTTCTCTTTGAAGTGTTACAAGCTCTTGGTGCATAAAGAAGATCTGTAAAGTTGCAAAGACCGTAATTATGTCCCTACTGGATGCAACAAATGCCTCGTTTATAATGGGTTTTCATGTTTTTGAATCATCGCTCCGGCCTGACAGGGCATCATCACAATATGGCAAGGGGCGTAACATTTTCGTCACGCGCTTGATGTATTCGGCCAATCATAACGCACTGGATAGCTGGCCAATCAGAGCACACCTCGCTTTTCAGACCGATGAGCTTCGTAAAAATCGACACGTTTCAGAAAGGCGGGCATAGAGGAGAAATAATAATGTACAGTATGTGGAAAATAATGTGTTTTTTTAACCTTAAACCGCATAAACACATTTCATTACACCAAATAATGTTATTTTTAGCAACATCATATGACCCCTTTAATAAACTGCTGTAGACAGGCGTTTTTATGAAGACTGCACATAGACAGCATGATTCATCTGAATTTGTAAGTTTTTAAAAAGTGGGACTCAATCCATTGTGGTCCAAATTGCTTGGACATATTCATAAATACACAAAGAGACAGTGATAATTTTATAGTAACCTCTTTCTTATCAAGACAGTCTTGAAGCTCTTCTGCTCTGTCCAGATACTGCTTACACTTATCTCTGATCTTCTGATTGCCCTCCTTACCCTGTGGTTCACCTGAATGCATGGAAACAAAGGGTTAAAATGCCAAGAGACTTGAACAGACCATTGCACATGGTTGTGAATAGGTTATGCCACACTATGCACTTACGTTTTATTATATGCAGAAAATATTTCACTGCATGTTGATAAGATTTAACAGCCTCCTCATAATTTCCAGCCTGGTCCTCTTGTGAAGCTTTGTTGGCTATGGCTATAGCTTTCTGTAAAATGAAGCATGTGCAGTTGTACTTATATTAAGTCAGTATAATCACACCTGTCTCAAATTTAAGGCAGTAAATACACCATAAGCCACTATGCAGAGATTTAAAAGTGTAACTGTACTTAAAGCACCATTACACAACATGTAATAACATTTAATATTAAAATATTTAATAATGTTACAGAAAAATTGTCTGTTTTTGTCAGTTAAATGCATTTTAAGTGATACGTCAAAAATCATTGCACATACAAAGTTATTTATGACTAGTATAGTAAAAAAAAATATTATTCAGTGCCAATTAACTTTAACAGAGAATTAAAGGGTTAGTTCACCCAAAAATTTAAATTAGCCCATAAATTACTCACCCTCAAGTCATCCTAGGTGTATATGACTTTCTTCTTTCAGACGAATCCAGTCGGAGTTATATTAAAAATTGTCTTTGATCTTTCAAGCTGTTTAATGCCACTCAGCGGGTGTTGCATGCATCAGTCCAAAAGAAGTTAAATAAAAAGCAAATCCATCCATAAAAAAAGAGTGTCTCACACGGCTCCGGGGGGTGAACAAAGGCCTCCTGTAGCAAATTAAAGATCAAAGACAATTTTTAATATACCTCCGACTGGATTCGTCTGAAAGAAGAAAGTCATATACACCTAGGATGACTTGAGGGCGAGTAATTTATGGGCTAATTTTCATTTTTGGGTGAACTAACCCTTTAAGCTGAATATGCACATAATTGAATTAATTGATCATAGTTCTAATAGAGCCTGAGATTGTAATATCTGTAATCTAAAATGTAATATCCACAAGACATAAATCTCTGACCATAATGTGGCTTCTTATGACTATTAGTAAATGTGCCTGTGAAAATAATAAACCACATAAATAAGTTAAATACACCAGTATATGAACTGCCTGTACTTCATAAATTATATATTTTGAGAGTCAGTGGAGCCTTGAAAACTCTTTCAACTGTTCTCAGATGATCGTCACACTTCAACAGCAGAATATTCAACACTATTTCCGAACTGATATCCTAGAGAAATCTTTAATGTCCGGGGTTATTACCGTGTCTCGAAACTAGAAGCTGCCTGCCTACAAGACAGCATCACGAGCTTCAGGAATCACTACATGCTAAGTTTGAAAACAGCCCGTTACGATTAACTTTCTACTTAAAGATAACTTGAATCACTTCACTCTAACTTCATTCATAAATAATGACAATGTTTCCGAAAGTGGTGAGTGTGAACATGGCTTCTAAACAACCAAAACAACTTTTACAAGAAAACGTACACGGATCTGCTTTAAAATATTACAAACTACAATAGGCTACTCTTGTCGACGCTCACATTGGCTTGACATTTATTCATGATTTCTGTATGGATTTATTTACCTGTAAATTGGTAGGCTCCATGTGACGCTGATTTGTTGTGAACTGAAGTCGGTCTCTGTTCAGTTTCGGTATTGCTGAATTATTGAGTTTGTGAACACCCACTCGACTCATGACAAGCACTGAGGAACAACACGAGAAACAGCGCCCTCCACAAGCTCACACCGAGAAAAAAACATCATTATAGCTCAAATATATGAATGCCTTTAAAACCCTGGTTTATTTGCTAGTTCGTGTTCTTTGTTTATCCGTGGAATAAAAAGAAATTGGTGAAATATATTTACACAGATACTCAGAAAATACTGTACTACAGTCTTCTTTCTATTTTTAAATAAATTAATAAATTAAAAACACAATCCAAAAAAAATCCTAACTCCTGCTAAAACACACACACATAAAACGCCGAAACCAGCCTAAAATGGTCAGCTTGATCATATCTGGTTAGACCAGCTGAACAACCAGCTAGTTCCAACTTAAACCAGCTACGACCAGCAAATCAGCTTATTCATATAATAAATTTTACATATAATCTCTCATTTCTTTCTCTTTTTTTGGCTTGAAATGTGACCCGGACACATTATAGGGTTAATCCCCTAACTTGTACTTCTGTTTTCATCCCTGTTGAAAAAACCAGCATTAGGGATGGGCGATACCACTTATTTTGTTTTCGATACGATACCGATATTTTTCAAGGCAGTATCGTCGATATCGATACCGATTCGATACTTCTGAACTAAACTTTTAAATTATGAAATGTATTAAATTATTAAATTACTAAGAGTAAAATGGGTAATGA